GTAAGTGGATTCTTCCTCACACATACACAAGTGTGTGTGATGTGTATGTGTGAGGAGGGGTCTATTTATATACAATTCTTACACATCATACTTGTTAATTAATGAAACACAGGATACTACCTCTTGAATCATGGCTCAATCACATACAAAGGCTATCAATTCTCAATGATTCTCATAATCACTCTGCCAATCATATATTTTGTATTAACAAGGATTCTCTACATTATGTGTATTTCCATTTTATTAGTTTTTTCCATAAGAGTTAAATAGGGCAACATTAAGACTTGCTTGTATATATATGTAAGCTCAATGAATAATCAAATTGTCTCTTCACTATCAACCTTCTTTTTCACTATATTAATTAATACTTATATAAAATCTCAACAATTCATTTCTTTAGTTTTAATTGCTGAAATTTATCGTAACTTTTTAGATGCAAAATAATTATTTTTAATAAATATGAATAAATCTAAAATACTAAAAGTGAAGAGATGAATAATTGAAATTTTGTAGAAATATAATATGTAAAACTTATATGTAAGTGAATCTCTACTATATATATGTATATGTATATTTGCTTTCCTCTTAAAACAAAGAAAATTTATTAGCTTTATTTCTATAAAGAATCAAAATATAGCACAAAAACTAATTAAGTAAAGGGCTAACTGAGTGAACATTGCTTACCGAACAATAGGAAAGGCATTCCACTGATCATCGTGCCTATTAGATCTTGTCTACGTAATGCCACTGAAATAAAAGAGTTACATTTATGATTCAGACAGTGAGTCTCACACAGCTGCAATATACTATTGTAATTAAGGGCGTGTTAATTGTATTTGCTTTGAAACTGGGAGAATTAGACAAAAGAAAAAAAAAAAGGACAAAACTCTTGATTTGTGTTTTTTTTTAGATAATAATTAATTGGTACACCTTTCGATTCAATACACTGCATAATACACTTTGGTTCAACCATTAAAATTTGCCTTTGGAATTTTTTCGGCCATGACTTCAAATTTGAAAATAATTGTTTGTTAATAAGTGTGTTAAAATATACTAATTATTTTCTTCTTTTTTTTTTTTAAAGAAAAAGGGAACTTTTGATTTGACTTGCCAGTGCCAGAGAAGATAAATTTTGTGGGAATTGTAATTCGGAAATGAAATTGAGATTCACATCCATAAAAATCAGAATCATATGCTTTAGTTATAGTATATAAAAATTGCTTAAGCATAGAGACTCTCATAAACAAAACCTATATTCACTTGCAGTAACCACGAAATGAAATTTATCATTGATTCATTATAACCGAAAATATATATTTATTCAAAATAGCTGTTAAAAGAATGAGGAAATATTCTCATCCCATTAAATTTTATCAAAGAAAATTGATAAGTAGAACATAAACTACAAAAGAAACT